TGTCGGTCTCAGGCGGTTATGTGAACTTCATAAAGTCAAATTTATCGATGATAATAAAAATATACTTAATTCCTGTCTGAAGATTTGGCAGCATAAATAGAAGATTCTCACCTCCAAGATATATAAGTAAATGCGCCTTTAAATTATCTGAAAGATGTTCGGCAAATACGTTATCCTCTATAGACACTGAGAGCAAACAATGCTAGTTAGAAAAACAAGCATTGCGATTGTCACTTAGTGTTTCTATAAAATATAGACTAGAAGGACTTGTCCCGTGACTTTCGTGACATTTTGAAAATTATATTGCCTTAAGCTCAGTCGTCTCATCATCATATATATATTGTGAAACATAATCCGTAAAACACATTTTATGGTATATATGGCGACGAGGTGCCCATATCATGATTTTATTCACTGTAATTAATTCCTTAGTTCAAGGGCAAAACCACGATTCAACATGTAATACTGCGATACAAAGTTGTACCAATCACGGGTATTTTAGGCAACCTACTTCACTTCCTAAAACATTTCGATTCAGGTACAATATATGTGACTCTGGTAAACGAAGGGATGTTGAGTCGTATAAACTCGACGTTTTGTATGTTAATGTAGATTTTCCTTTATTGTTGTGTAGGAATAAATAACAGAATTTTATAATTTTGGTACCTGAGAATAAAACTAAATTGAACAAACAATAAAAAAAAAAAAACTATATACTGTAAACGACTATTTTTCGTGGCCTCAATATTTCGCGATTTAGGTCAAAGCTGAAGTTTTGGAATAATTCGCGGGTTTTAATTTTCTCGACACGGTGGAATCTCAATATAAATTTCAGTCTGTTTACATTTTACCGAAATTGTTCGCGGGACCCATTTTTCGCGAATTGTAGGCGATTCGCGAAATTCTCAAAAATAGGTCCTCGCAAAAATCAGATCGTTTACAGCAGTTAGTTTCACGGCCTAAATAGCGCCTATTGACAGAACAACGCGGAAAATATATTCTTAATTTAGCGGTTCAAACCGGTTCGAACCGGTTTGAACCGTTATTTTTTGCGCCCCGGAACTGAACCGGAACTGAACCGAAAGCCGTGAACCCGAACCCGAACCGAACCAATAAAAATATCGGTTCGACACTCTGCCGTCTATACCAAAAGGAATCTTGACGTCCGCATCGACATTGATGGTGTGTGTACTGAACACCCAAACTTTGACAGAGGATGAAATTACATCCGAATTACTAAAAGCCTTCTGGGAGCTGGATGCCATGGGATTTTCGACTAAGGAAGCTGCGGACGACAATCTAAGCCTCTGCGCATATTTTGAAGAAAACATAGTTAAAGATGGCCAACGGTACGAAGTAGCGTTTCCTTGGAAGGAGGATTGCACAGAGCCCTTGCAGAACAATCGAGACATAGCAGTCTCACGCTTGCGTTCGCTTCTCAGACGACTTTCATCCAAAGAGGGTTTACTTCATCGGTACGACACCACGATCCGTCAGTACATAAAGTTGGGTCATGCGGAAGTGGTACCAACCGACTTGGAAGGTGATAACAAGAAACGCATCTATTACATGCCACACCGAGAAGTTGTCCGGGAGGAGTCTACAACCACAAAGCTACGAGTAGTCTTCGACGCTTCGTCACATGCAAAAGGATGCAAGTCTCTCAATGACTGCCTGGAAAAGGGACCAAACCTGAATCCAGACATCCTCCAGATCCTTCTTCGGTTCAGATGGTATGCGATCGCCTTGACAGCTGACATCGAAAAAGCTTTCCTTCAGATAAAAATCAGTCAAAAAGACCGTGATGCGGTCAGATTCCTGTGGTTTGCCAATGAGCCCACCGGGCCATTTGATTTAGAAAGCTAACAGGAATGGCGAATGACCAGAGTCCCTTTCGGGGTATCCTCCAGTCCTTTTCTATTGTCTGCGACAATTCAACACCACCTAAAAAATGTGGCAGTTACAAAGAACATTGCTGAAAAGATGAGGAGCTCTTTTTATGTCGATGACATTTTAATGGGTGCCGACACGGTCGAAGAAGCGATTACGCTATACGAGACGTCTAACTCTATCATGAAGGATGCGGGCATGAACTTGAGAAAATGGGCCTCCAATGACAAGCACGTGCAGCACATAATGAACGAAGCGGAAGCAGATGCGGCACCGGCAGACAGGAACCTTAAGCTGTCCAGAATCTCCAAGGTGCTGGGAATGATTTGGGACAAGGACAGTGACAGTTTCAAGTTTTCGGTGGACTCTCTTACATCGTTCCTTCAGACAAAAGTGGACACCAAGCGTTTCATTCTGCAAGCTGCGTCAAGAATATTTGATCCCATGGGATTCATTGCCCCTTTCACTATACGAGCTAAGCTCCACTTCCAGAAACTATGGAAACTAGGAGTGAACTGGGATGAAGAAATACCCGAGGAACTATATGTCGAATGGTCCAACTGGTGCAGAGACATTCCTAACATCTACGCAGTACATGTGCCAAGGCACATTAAGAATGGACAAAAAAGACCGTTTAAAGAAGTCCAGTTGCACATATTCGTGGACGCCAGCACACAGGCATATGGAGCATGCGCCTATCTAAGAATCGAAGATAACAGCGGGCACGTTGGGACTACCTTAGTTACCGCAAAGTCAAGAGTGGCGCCTCTTAAGGTATTGTCTTTGCCACGATTGGAGCTCATGGGAGCCACAATAGGAACGAGGCTGCTGGAATACCTAGGTTGTACGTACACAGAGCTTAAAGAAACATACACCATGTGGACTGACTCGACAGTTGTGCTAAGTTGGATAAGAGGTTCGGCGAGCAGGTGGAAGCCATTTGTCAAACACCGCGTTCTAGAAATTCAAACTAAGAGCGTGCCAGAGAAATGGAGACATTGCCCGGGAGAGACTAACCCAGCAGACCTGCTGACAAGAGGAGAATCTCCATCGATTCTTCGCGATAGCTGTCTGTGGTGGGAAGGGCCGAAATGGCTCACTTCTGGAGCAGATGACTGGCCGGAAACCCCACCTCAATTAGGGGAACTCAATGAGCTCGAAACAAAGAGTTGAAACCGACCCAGGTGTACCTGCAAACAGAAGGTCAAGAAACGGCCGCACTTTTTGATCTAAAGAAGTACAACGGGTATCAGAAGGTGCTTAGAATAACCGCCTGGGTGATGAGGTTTGCGCGTAACAGCAGTTCTAAAGAAAATCGACAAGTCGGCAAATTGGAAGCCGTAGAATATGCTGCAGCAGAACGATATTGGATAAAGCAAGCTCAAGGACAAGCCTTCTCAAGGGAGATTCAGTTGCTTTCTAGCAATCAGGACATTGAGCCGGCCTCTCCTCTTTTGGATCTGCACCCATTTCTGGACCATGATAATACGCTCAAGGTAACGGGACGGCTGCAACAATTCAACGCCCCTTGCTCCGTGACACAGCCGATCTTATTACCGAACGATCATCGTCTGACTGAGCTGATTATTATGGATGCTCATTATCAAGTCGGCCATGAAGGAGTATGTAGCACCATGGCCACCCTCCGACAGCGATTTTGGATACCTCGAGCACGACAGGTAATTAAGAAGACTATCCGAAACTGTCTTCTATGTTCGAGGTTTCGCACGAAGCCTACACCTGTGCCGTTCGCTCCCCTTCCAGCGGAACGAGTGAATGTTACAAAGCCGTTTGAGATCTCAGGCATTGACTTCGCAGGACCTTTATAGTATGTGAAGGCAGCAAGTGCAGGAACTAGCAGCTCTAAGGCGTATATTGCCTTGTTTACGTGCGCGACAACAAGAGCTGTCCATCTGGAGCTCTCGAGCGACCTCTCCACGGAAGCGTTTCTTCTCGCATTTCGAAGGTTCATTTCCCGAAGAGGAATACCAAGTACAATATACTCGGACAATGCTACTTCCTTCAAGAGGGCGTCGGGGAGTTCCAAATTATCCTTAGGTCAGCCGACGCCCTCTTGAAGGAAGTAGCATTGTCCGAGTATATAAGGTAGTTTTAAGGAAAGTTTTGGGAAGAAGCAGTCTCAAGTTTGAAGAGCTAGCAACGGTGCTTGTAGAAGCAGAAGCCATTATTAATTCCCGACCATTAACATACGTTTACTCCGACCTCAAGGAGCCAACACCTGTCAGTCCAGCTCATTTTCTGATTGGACAAAGCCTTATTGTTCTTCCAGAAGTCGGCTCATACTCTCAGCTTCCCAAGACCATGACTCACAGGGAATCCACTCGGAGGCTGAGGTATAGACAACTGATTATGGACCACTTTTGGAATCGGTGGAGTAACGAGTATATCGTGCAACTGCGATCGGCTCATCAGTACCCAAATGTCAAGGCTATTTCGTTGAAAGTTGATGACGTAGTCCTGTTAGAGGACAAAAAATGTCCAAGATATTTTTGGAAGCTCGCCCGAGTTACAGAAGTCTACGCTGGAACGGATGGGTGCGTTAGAGCATGCCTCGTCAGAGACAAAGATGGAAACATTTATCGAAGACCAGTTCAAAAGCTGCATCTACTTGAAATCCATTCACCTTTGCTTGCTCGGGAGGATGTTGAGGAAGTCGAAGAGAAGAAAGAAGAAGGCACGAGGAACTGAAGGACTGATCGAGACTTTAGAAAGAGGAAGATGAGGGTGTTGTTCTTTTTACCATTAAACCATTAAACATTTACCATTACCTTCTGATGCTAAAGTCCACCGTCTCACTGATAGATCTTTAAGAATTCCACACCCCCCCTCCAAAAAAAAAAGTAAATAAATAGTTGCCATAACTATGTTGCGAGACGGTCTTAAAATAGTCATAATTCGGAATCTCTGAAGTGAGCCTTGCAACATAAACATCGAGCTAAATCTTTTTTTCTCTCTGGGACAATTTATTTTGCCACGTAAAAAAATTGTTTGGCAGTTCGGTTTTTCTTTAGAACAGCACAGAGCTGGACACTTCTCCTCCGAGTTTCTCGCTCCCTGCACTAACTTGGAAGGGTGCGTGGACTTCTCACCTCGCTCAGGTGCACCCTGTGGTGGTGCTCGTCAAACAGGCCGACCTGCACGCAGTACTCCGTGTCCTCCTGCAGTCCCCAGGTGTCGCCGGGAGTCACCGAGAACACTGCAGGCACAACAAGGTCCCGACTTATAATGCCGAGATTCCCGGGGCGGGTCGGGGAAGAAATCCGCTTCTCCACCCGCGCCACCGCGGCAAAAGGCTGTGGCGACGCAGAATGCGTTGTGCGTTGCTTCCGGTACGGTGCCTGGAACGAGTCTTCGACCGATTCGTTTAGCCTCTCATACCGTCTGTGCATCGAAAGTGGTTACAAAGGGGAAACAAGTGACGTCGCAGGAGTCAGCGTGCCTTGCTTGTTACTATTCTGGCTGTTGCTAACAGAAGTCCCGGCAGAAAGAAACGAGCGACGCAAGTGTCGCCGTCGTCGCGGCATCCCCACACCCGGCTGCCAAAGCTTCCGTGGACTGTCAAGCCTGAGAGAGACCGGCGGCAGAACTGACATCTGCCATATCCATCACCCGATTCTAAATTTCTAAATCCTCAAAATAAAAAAATAAAGGCAAATCTTAACCTGGCAGCATATACACCAACCGGCGGCCCTGACGTCGCACCGCTACGATGGCACTGCTACTTGCAGGGCGCACGTGTAGACACTTCACGCAAATTTAGTTTGTGCACACGCGCAGCACCCACACATCGTGTGGGAACTGAGCCTTTGCCCAGACCTCATGGGGGCTCGTTTGTAAACAGTGCGTTGGCCTATACCCATGTACGCAAATGCATATACTGTAGTAGTATATATAAATATTGATGTGGTGGAAACAGTAAGATGGAGAAGAAAAAGAAAAGCATAGAACCTTTTTAACCATTCTGTATGCAAACATTGAAAAGACCAACCAATTTGTTGATTTTTTGCTCTGCCTGCACGGTCTGGTTTCTGAGCAAATGTCAACTAATTAATATAGAAGAGGCAAAAAAAAATCCAGGCACAAAACAAGCTTGCAACATGTGCAAGCCAGCATGTTTAAGATGCCACAAAGTCAAGAATACCCTAGACTGACAAAGATTTGTGTTAATGAACATTAATAGATCACAGCAGTGGTAAAGTGAAATCTGTTCACTAAATGAAGTTACATTTCCAAAGAAAAAAAATGTTGCAATTTTAGACTGGAAAGATGACAGTGCTAGATTGGTACATTCCAATTAGAACTGTTTCCTGTTTCTGGCCAAAACTGACTCGCTAATTACCAGAACTCATTTTGATCGGAAAATAAACAGGACGAGCGTGTGCTCCAAGAAATACCGCAGTGCTCAAATAGACACAATCGAATGTGGCACTCACACAAGTAGCTGGGCTTCACCACATATATTTCTGCCCGAGGTTGCCGGCTGTACTCGTGCAAGGTCAGATCTGAGCTAGGGTCAGGGAGAACACCTGCTCAAGAGAGATGCATCCTTGTGGGCAACCTGTGTCACTGTCAGTCACACACAATTTGTCTTAGATTTTTTAACACTGGCAGAGTTAGTTACATTCAAAATATGGCAGTAAATGTTTTCACAGTGTATTGGCACATGAAAACGCTGTAAGAAGACCTTGCCTCTGTTAAAAGTTAAACGAAACAAAACCTTTCACTACGAGTTAAGCCCATTTTCCCTAAACTCAAATTCTGCAATCGTCCAAAGTTGTTTTTTTACATTAATGTGAAAAATACCTTCATAATAGTGCGTAAAAAATTTAAAATTTATTAGTAACATTTTCTTCTGTCAACGAGATCCTCATAAAAAAATACAACACCTAGTCACACCTATGAGGGAAGCTAGAGTCTTATATCCTGCGGAACCGGTCCCACAAATTAGTTCAAGTGGTGTTCAGCGAAGGGAATATTTAAGACAAACCAGAGTGTTACCTTCTTGAAGACAGAACACCTACCTTCGTATTGGTATTTAATTTAAAAACTCTTCAAAAGTGCTACTGCATTTGCATTTAAATTAAATATGTTTTCGGCCAAGTATTTGCAGGCACTTCAACCGCCACCGAGACGCTGGTCGGAGAGGTTCTCGAGCCACCTTGGTTCCGCTTTGCGACGGGACGAATCCCGAGCAAGGATACGGGAGTCCCTGAGCACCATGGACGTGTGTCCCAGGGAGCGCGCTGTCACCGACGAGCTGAACCCATCCAGTTCTGCCACCAGAGGATCCTCCACGTGCAGAGAGTACTGCTCGCTCGGGAGCTCCAGCTCTGGAAAGAACAGCCGACCAATCGATTACAAATGCGCACTTCCGGTTTCACAAAGTTGCACTTTCTGGGCATTGCGCACAACTTGAACTCTGCCCCCCCCCATGTATTGCGTAAAACAGACGCAGGGCAAGCAAACCAGGAGTAGCTAGCAAACAGTATGCAAGAGAAGAAGGCAAACGAGGGAGAGATCGCAAGATGGCGGTCGGGCAACACCCATGGCGACACCGGATCTAGAACGGACTGATGCATGCTAACGGCTGTACCCTTCACGACGGGCGGTAACTTGCACCACCTAGCCTAGAAATTAAAAACCAAAAGTATGATTCCTCCCTTCACCCTTCTAAGCCAATTTACTTCCCTGCTGCAATTTTGTAAACATCACCAAGATGACCGTTGGGGGATCAGGCAAAAAAATGAATAACTAGAAACGTCGCCCCGCCTCTTTCGCTTGGCAGGGGGAGAGTCCCTAATTTTCCGCGAGTCAAACCTAGCCGGTGTTACCCTGGCACTGGGCCCACTGGGAGACAGGGTATAAACTTTGGGCTGGAGCCACGCGGGAGGGAATCCCAATTTTTCTGTCTTGCCTGTCCACCAGCTGTGTCAGTCAGTTGTATGCCATTCAATTCTTCCTAGACAATTTTGACCTGTCTTCTAATCTTCTCTTTGCTATTAAAATGCACCCATCATCCATACCTCCATTCTTGTCCGCAAACCCCAGCGCTCTGGGCAAATCCGTCGCTCACCAGCACCCGAACCACCGGGATGCTACCATTGTGGCCAGGCGCTTAACAGATATTAATTAAATGCAACTAAATGTGCCATACAAGAAAAATTCCTCGTCGAAATTTTGAAACTTACTTTAACATACACAAAAAAATTATATATATTTTATTATTGTAAAAATTCATTATTGAAAGGAAAAATAACACTGGCTATTATTGGGAAATTCCCACGGTTTGAAGCACTGCTAGAAATTCCAGGGCATTTAAGGTCTGGAAAATGCCATTCCCAAATTCAAGGGTTTTCAAAATTTTCAAGGACCCATACGAATCCTGTTCAAAACTTGCCCTTCTTCTATATTTGTGCAAATACGGTACATCGTGCACAGTTAAGACCCAAAAGAAATGGGTGCATCTTGAACCATCGTACATATAAGATGTGCCAATGAAGATTCAGTGAAATCTAGTGAGAATTGCAGACCTGAAGACGCGATACACCTAGAGCACTATATAGCTCCTTCGGAGCAGAGTAGCGCAATCGAGAACGCCATCTCTCGGCGACTAGCGGCGCACGCCCGGGGGTTCCAACTCCGATCAGAAATGCATGGGGAACATGAGAAAATCATTGTTTCTTTAATATTGGGGGGATGTACGGAACACCAAGACCCATCCACGTCGAGCAACGATCTTGAATGTTTTACTCCAGGCATTGTGAGAAAAGCAACCGTCCCTCTTACGAGAAACTCGAAGAGATGCCACGACGCGAGGCGGTGGTTCACAGTGCATGCGTTGTCACGCATACCCGGCTCCCCCAAAAGAGGGCGTGCAGGTGCACTGCGTCATCAGTTGTCGCGTCTTCTGCTTGTACACGACCACTTCCGAAGGGTTCAAGAAGCTTCCTGCACGTCAGACTTCGGTGCAAGATCTACATTTCGTGAATGCAGAGCGAAAAATATGTCCTGCCCCAAACCTGGTGCTCTTCGGGCCTCCTTCCTCACAGAAGTAATCAAATTCGCCACATGGGATCAGCGAGGGGTTGGCGGCAAAAGGAAAGGCCATGTCCTGGTTCCGCCATTCAGTCACCGACTCTATGGTAAGAAACACGCTGGCTGGAGACCCCTGGGTGCGTCAAGGGAGTCAAGGGCACCAGAGTACTGGTGGCATGGTACACTCACCGGACGCCGTGCCCTTGCGCACCAGCCGTGCCCTGAAGTGGATGAGAGCTCCTTCGAGGAGGAAGACTCGGGACGGCTCCAGCAGCACGTTGGCCACCACAAGCAGAGTCACCTGCTTGCCCGGCACCTCCTGGGGGAGGAGAGACGGAAGCAGATTGCGGTAAATCATAAGCGCCCCCATCGACGGTGCCAACAAGAATGAGAATGGCAGGAAAGTGGAGAAAGCAAGCAGCCGACAGTTTGTTGTCAAATTAAGACATTTCATATATTTCTTTTTTTAGGAATAGTTGTACCGTTTTTGTTTGGACTACGTTTTGATAGATTGTGTTTGACAACTTAAATTTTGCGTTAGATTTCCAGTCTCTGCCTTTAGGAAAACGCAGTGTCTAGCGTTACGTACGTCCGCCGGAACTCCAAATAAAAATTAAAGTTACGTCTGACGTAACTTTACCCTAAGGTTTCGAGTTACGTCCTACGGAAATAAGTTACGGCCTGTGTAACCTACCGAGCCTTATTGAATATTACGCTTTGTGGCCGAAACACGACGTAAACATAAAAATATATATAATTACTTCTGCATTACGTCCGATGCAGCGTTGATAAATTGGTCAAAATCGTGGCTCTATTCATACTTCCAGGTTTGTTGAGGGGGTTGGGGTGTGTTCCTCGTATGTAGAGGCAGCGTAGGCCCGGCGGGTTATATACCCGTTACATAAGCTTTTTTCTTTTTTTTCTTTTCTTTTCTTTTTTATGTCCTTTCTGCGATTTTTTTCTCCTTTAAGAGGATCTTTTCCTTCGATTTGTTTTTAGATATGAAACCACTTCTTCCTTGATGAGACACGCAAGATAAAAGAAAAACATTGAAAATGGAAACCGCAGCACGTGTGCTGCGAGCGTGAGAAGCTGTAGATGAGAAAGTTAGCCAGTGCAGTACAACCGCTAACCAGTGGTAATTACACGAACGCGTGCCGGTACCACAACCAACGCCGGTACGAAACTCATCCAGGTCGAAACTGGCAGGAAGTGGGGGGTAACTATTTTGTATTTCGAGTTCCGTCGGACGTAACATTAATTTTCACATTGGGTTCCGTCGGACGTAACTCGAAACTTTGGGGTAAAGTTCCGTCGGACGCAACTAATTTACATATTGGGTTATGTCGGACGTAACTCGAATCCTTACATAAAGTTACGTCGGACGTAACTAATTTTTATTTCGGATTCCGTCGGACTTAACGCTAGACACTGCGTTAAGAAAAAGAACGAAAACCTAGATTTCTTCATAAAAATTAAGATGTCCAGCTAGTCCTAATATTCGTCCAACCAAGAAATGGCAGTCTAGTAGATGCCTATGCCATTTACTTATGTAAAAAAAAAAAAAAATGCTCGCTAGCAAGAAAAGCAATATTCTATTTCGTCCTGCTGACAAGCTTTTTCACTAAAAAAACTTTTAGCCTTTCCACTCTGGTGAAGAAAGAAGACCAGCAAAGCTCTACCACGGTGGGAATGACGTAATGGCCGGCCGCAAATCGACAAGCCAAACTGGAAAGGCTGGAAATGTTGCCGCCATCTATGAGCGACTGCAACAACCAGACAACCGGCAAGCCGGTTGTCTGGTTGCCACCGTCGTTCATAGATGGCGGTAGCTGTCCACAGTTTTGTGTTGACATCTGTTTGCCGGCAGACACAATACTGGGGAAACTAGCACTTAACAGCTCCACTGTAAAAGAAAATGCCATAACGCAGTTTGTTTTGACGATGGAGTGATGTCTCGTTAAAATAAAAACCTTCGTTCCCCCAAAAAAAGCATCCATAATGCAAGTTGTCCATAACAAGTCAAAATGCATGTATTTATCCAGTTAGTCCCTGAAATGCTTTCTCTACAATGGGGCATCCATATTTTAATGGGGTCTGTATTAACAGGACATGACTGTATTAGGCTTAGGCTGAAAATTTAATTTGCCATCTGTCCCTTCAGGCATCATCACATTCTCAAACTTTCGCATCCTAACCCCACTGCTGGCATTATGTTGCAACGAAGTTTAGGCTTTGTGAGGCGCAGTTTACGAGAATGGACAGTTGGGCTAGTTGGTAAACGTTCATGACGAAAAACAGCGCGAAACACAAGGACAGAGAAGAGAAAAAACATACAGGACGGCACCTCTACCTGTATGTTCTCTTCCGTGTCCTCGTGTTTCGCACCGTTTTTCATCATGAATGCAAAGTTTATTTGTGCGGGTCGAAGAACCGGGTTTTGTTTTCTTTCTCTACCCCATGGCAACGCTGGGGAAAACTCACCTTGTAGTCCGGATGAGCAAGGTGCACGGCAATCCTGGCCGACCCGGTGCCGACCCCCTGTGCCAGCACGGCCCAGCCTTGAAGACCCCTCTGCTCCCAGAACTGGACCCCAGGGGGGCTCCGATATGGCGACTCTGACGACTGCAGAAACCTGCCACCGGCAGAGCCGTGTAGAGAGAGTTTGGTCAATGGAAGGTGCAAACAGAGCCAGGCCGTGCACCAGATGCAGAAAGAGGGCTTGACATGCTCCCTTGGCCAACCAGAAGCTGAAAAGAATCCCCTAGCGGCAGTAGTGAGAAACTGTTTTAATAAAACGTATATGTTGGTATATTGTGTTAATAAGCGCAAGAGTGAAGTGTAGTAAACCTTTATGGTTGAAAATAGGGTGCACGTGATGTTTCGATTATGATCATACAGAAAGATGCAAGAAACGAATGTGCCGCTCGAACCTTGTTTTGCTCGAACAGAGTGAGACTGTTCGGACGGCAGATTCTGGCCCTCGGCGCCTGGCGTACGGATTATGTCTATCCTTCCGCTAGTTGTGCTCTTCGTCCATGATCTTGGACGACCGCGATTGAAACATCAAGTGCACCATATTTTCAGTCACCGAGAGTTACTCCGACGCAATTAATTTAACTTCTCGTGACCACTGCCAGGGTATTATTTCCAGCTCCTGGTTGGCCACATTCGAATTTGTGAAGATGCCCTGGAACATGCCCAGCACGCTTTCGGCCAATGGCATCTCCTCATTTGCGTCCTATACATCCCAATGAATGGCCAAACTCTTTGTATATACGGCTCTGGCCACCAGGAGTCCCATTTCGGTCAAGTGGGAGCGAGGGTCGTTTTCAGCTGCCGACCGGACGCAGTGGCACAGCTCGGGCACAATCAATCAGCGAGACCAATTTAAAACAATCGCGAGGTCACAATCTGACAATAATTTGGCGAGAACGTCTCAGCAAAGTAAAAATTGCGAGAGGGGTCTGGTGGCCTGCGACGTGCCCTTGTCCTTGCCACTCCATTCGTCGACCGGTAGGTGTCGGCTTGCGTACGGCAATGGTGCAGTTTGAGATTTTTAAAAGGAGAGCAGGTCATCAATGGCTTTAGGCACAAAAGAGCGGACTATTTTGGAATTTCGGCCTGCATTTGATCTCGCTTTGCTGCAACACTCTTTTCGTAGCAGAAGATTATGTTTTGTCTGTTAACGGATGACGTATGGTGTTTTCTCGTTTTACTTTCGTCCACAAATGACGGTTCATAGGTGACAAACAGTGTTTTTCGCTAGTGTTAGAGGACGAATGGTCTCCCAACGTCGTCTTTGCTCAATCTGCGAGGGATCGAATTAAATATCGCCCTCACTCTCGCAATTAACAATATTGAACCCCAGGAGAGGAGGCAAAGGGGGGGGGGGGGGGGGGTGGGGACCTCGAAAGCTTGAGACGGCACCAGGGTGCCTGGAACGTCTCACAGACTGGTGCGTTTATTGCATCCTCAAATGTGGTCCCTCAATTTCAGTACGATGACGTCACAAAAGTGTAACACAGTGGCAGACGCCCGTTCCACTGCAGGTCACTCTTCATCTTGACAGCCCACGGAAGATTCGGCGGCCAGGACTTGGGACGTCTCGACGACGGCGACACTTGCATTCGCTCGCGCTTTTTGGCGGAACCTCTTTGACCAAACACCACGATTGCGACAGTCCACAGTGCGGCGCGCCGCCTCCTGCGACGTAACTGCCGCCACTTCGGGACCACTTTCGACGCATAGACAGCAAAGGACGCTAAACACGTTGGTCAAAGACTCGTTCCAGACGCTGCTTCGGGGGTCAGCAAGGAAAGCAGGCAGCTGCAAGAACCAGAGCTCGCAGGGTCGTTTTGCTGCACCCTGATAAGTGTAGCAAGACTACAATGGTGAAAAAAAGCTGCGATCGTTGCGTAAGTGGGGAGCGGGCAATGTCAAACGCGAGCCACGTGGGGTTCATACTTCCGCACAAACGCTGGTTGGTGGCTGTACAACGAGTGCTGGACGTACGACCCCCGGAGGGGGTTGGGGGAGGAGGCAGGGACTTACCGCACCACAGCACCCTGCGTGCCGGCCGAGGGCTCAGACAGGATGGACCACTCGAAGGACACTCCGACCAAGGAGGAAAAGGTGTCCCCTGTAAGGCATAAGCACCCCTGCCTGAGTGCACCAAAGGAAGCGGGCATCCACAAATTAACAAGATACTATTTATTTATGAGGGCCGAATAAGGAGTAATTGGACTGCGCCTGTTTATACACGGAGGTAGACAGGCGGTGCGGTGGTGACATTGCAAATGTAATACGTCTGCATGTTCGAACCTGCAGTTGGACCATTGGTCCTCAGCGATCTGTCACAGCAAGCGAAGGCACCTCATACGTGTCATCTTGGCAGATGACAAAGACTCGCTTGTGAGAGTATGGCAAAGAAGCGTAATTGAATCTTGTGTTGAACTTTAAAGGAATACTGGAACGAAATTTCGGCACTTATTTTTTTGGGGCTATATGTGTTCAAAGGAGCAGTATCACATCGAACACACCAATAGCTTGTTGAAAAAGACACGAAAAGAAATTTTAAGACAAATTAAACTATTAGCAAAGAGCACCTGGTGGATGTCGCCGACGCCTCGTTTGTAATGCCCGTCTAGGAACTTTGACAGGTAGTGACGGTAACTGTCCAGCCTCCGGCCACGACAAGGGAAGAGCTGAAGGAGGAACTCCCCTCTCCCGAGAATCTTTTTTGTGTGTCCCAGAAGTCGCTATGCTCCCCCTACAAGGTTATAGAAGATTAACCCGTCACTCAAAATTCGTACAAAAGCAGCCGCTTCGGTGGCTGAAACGACTAGGCCATCCTCTCAACGTCAGCTTCGCCGCAGCTTTGCTCGTAACGAGACGAACTACGTCACGATTGCGTGCTTCAAACTGATGACATCAGCTCGCTCCATGAGACAGTCAATGCTTTCGCATTAAAATACAGCCACGAGGCTCAAAATACAAACGTGGGATTGTCATTTAAGGATATGGTGGATCATAGTCAACCTATCTTTAAACACGACGGGTATATTTCAAATTTCATTGAAGTATTCCTTCAAAGAGTAGTAACTGCACTGTCATACACATCATATAACCTGGACTTACCGCCATAAATTCTGGGCATCTAAAAAAGCACTAAAAAAGGAAAAGAAACTTCAAGTAAGAAAGTTCTTTTTCATATGATGGCTCGAACAAAGTTGTGGCTGCAAAACTAAAAGTGATGTTGCAAAACATTCTTTTATATTTTATAAAATTGGGCTTTGGAAGATTCCAGTCAATATATTGAATGTGAAGGATGGCAGTTTGAAAAGGAAAAAAAATCAGGGTCTGTACTTTCCCATAACTGGACGGCACCGGAGCCTATCAAGGAAGTCGTCAGATATCCTCAAAATTCGTCGGGACAATCAATTCCTTGCGAAGAGTTAGGGTTAGAGAAAAGGCAAGTCCCAATCTTCGCAACAAAAGCATGCACGACACACTTACGCATACACGCAATCGGCAGAAGTACGCCGCTGCCATTACGTGCACGCTTGATTCGGCACCCGATTCACCTACAGAGCACGTGGAGAGGACCAGTGCACCTGCAGGAGCAACTCCTATGTGCCCGAGCAAGATTTGGAATGCAGCCAAATGGCAATCAACCACTGCTACCTTGAACCACTTAACACCGTCGTACGCACACTCGATTCGGTGCTCGATTCAGCAATGGAGCCTGCGGAGAAGACTGGTGCCTACCCTGGTCGTTGTGCGCCATGACCTCCATCATCTCGGGCGAGTCGTCCAGCAGCAGCTCCCTGGTGGTAGTCATCACATCCAGGGAGTGTACACGGTCCACGATCACATCGCAACTGAGCACCTCCCCCGTGGCTGGGCACATTGATCCATGAACACTCAATAAAACTGTATAAACATACCCATAATCCAATTTTATTTTAGAGCGCAGCTCTTAGGGGCCCGTTTCCAGCCTGAGCGGTGTCGGCGTCGCCGTCTGCGTAATTGCGCCCCTCCCTCTCCTCCTTCCCTCATTGTGTAGTATGGTCCGGGCGGGTCACGTGACCTCGGGGGGAGGGGGTCACATGACCAGTTTCCAGCCTGTGCGGCGTCGGCGTCGCCCCTCCTCCGCTCCTCCTCCTCCTCCTCCGCTTTTCCTCCTCCCCCTCCTCCCCCGCCAAGGTCACGTGACCCCGGGGGGTTACTCCCCTCCCCCCGCCGAAGTCACGTGACGGCCCGCCCAAGGTCATGTGATCCCGTCCCCTCGAGGTCACGTGACCCCCCCGGACCTCTGCCCTCCTCCTCCTCCCCTCATTGTCTAGTATGGTCCGGGGGGGGTCACGTGACCTCGGGGGGAGGGGTAAAGGAGAGGGGGGAGCAGGAGGGGAGGAGGACTAGCAGGCATGATCACGAGGGAGGAGGAGGAATATACCCTCCACTCCTCCTCCTCAAAAGCTGCGCTCCAATTCGGCGTTACAGGAAGTTGTAATTTCTCTGTCCACGTCTATTAGTTACCGACGGCATGAGAATGGCAGGGAAGTCCCCCAGTTGCCCCACCTCCCAGAGCAAGCTTCCCAACTTCGACAGCACGTGTATGCCTTGTGGGCATAGAGTGCACACTCGAAGTACTGCGAAAGGCAATGAGCATGCGCGCCGGAGGCAGGGCATTCAAAAGACTTGCCGCTCCCATTCTGTCGGTGAGGGCCGTTCATTGCCCGCGTGCCAATGAACGGAGTGGAACACCAACGCTCTGCACCGCAGCATTTCTGTCTACCGGGCCCTATTGAGAAAACGAAACCCGGTTTCTTTACTTGCATAAACCGCGACATCTGAAAGCTGAAACTCTGTAGGAATGAGACTCTAAATGTAGAAGATTGTACTCCAGAGACTGAGACCTATAACTTAATTCCCAGCTGCCTTGCTGAGGCTTTATGTACAAACATAATAGAAGCGTGGTGCCCTCTAGATCTTTAGTTTTTAAGATTACTAGAGCCACCTAACCTCTCCCCCTCTCACCAGTTTAGCAATTTAAACAATCAGAAATTCGGTCAAACAAAAGGGACGACCGCCCAGACCGTATCTTTCGAAAGCCTTCAGTGTTTCAGGGCCTCTTGCTTGAAACCTTGGGTAGCCACCGGACGGGGTCCGCTGTACTGGATCTGAAGGTTCTGGTCCAGGCACATGCAGCTCTCTTGACAGGTAACACACACCAGGTGCTTGTGGTTCCGCTGGGGGAGTCCTATACGCCGCATCACAATAACTTGGAGGACCGTGGAGGCTACAACCCCCGCGACCCAATGAGCGTAGGAGTGAGGCACGTGACGCCACGTTATGGGAGCGTTCGTGTCACTGCACCAAACGAGTGGCTCCGAGGAACCGGCTGTCATGCCTTGCTCCAACGTTCTCATTGGGTCGCGAGGGCCACAGCCCCCACAGTTCACCAAGTTATCGTGAAACGAAGTATAGCAGTGTCTCAACGACATACCAACAAGGCCGCCATGCTTCACACAACACTTTGGCACCGCACGAAGCATCTGACTTCCATGTTCGTAGCCAGCCGACACAACTCTTGCTGCGTGCCAGCAGCTCGCTGGCACCTTTTTGCCCGGTCTCTCTTGAGGAAGACCTCCGTCAATGGCCACTCCGGTTTCGGCTTCTCTGGCGACCTCGGTGTCCTGGTTCGCACTCTCCACTCCATCGACAACTCCGCTGAACTGAACCTGGACGGTCCTGGGGCGTCTCTAAACACCAGCGGAAGGAGGAAGGGGTCGTCGCTTTTGCATAGAAGGTCCTTGATAGTTCAAACCGTGTGCTCAACATCCATGTCGGCCTGCAAAAAGCACGGGCTGCTTGTGATGTGCTCAAAGCCGAGAAAGTTTGCAAACTCCGCTGCTGAAAACTGCAGGCCGTCGTTGCCACGGACGATCGCTGGATACCGAAGTGCGCCAAAACACCCTTCGTGCAGAGATCACTGACAAACCTGTCGGGCTCCTGAGCGTGACGACTGCAGGGTACCAAGAAACGAAAATATCGACAATCACCAAACATTTTTACCCGTCGAAATGAAACAAGCCCACCCCTTATTGCTGCCGAGGCAAGTCAGGGGAAGTAGACGACAGGAGAGGTTCCACACGCTGTACCTTTGTGGAGGCGTACCATTCACAGTTCTCAACCACGACCTTCACCTGGCTGCTCCCCCATGCCATCAAATTCTGAGTCCTGTGCTCTTTCACGGCAGTGGCTCACTTCGTGGTGCCCCTCGTGGATGGACCAGAGGTCCTCGTCCTGGAGAGACGCTGGGACGACAAGACGACCCCCCTCGAGAAGCAAGCCGTTGTAAACGGAAAACTCGCCCTGGTGTTTCCAGTACTTGGCAGGCTGACCGGAACTTTTGGCTTCACGGGCCAGACTTGCTCGCAGTACTTGCAAAGTATGCCGTGCTCCCCCATCTGAAGCTTGCTCGCGTCGAAGCCTGTCTAGCCCCATGGGCTATCGGTCTTGGATTGCATGGACGATGCTGTCCATGATCCGCTCCGTGGCACATACAGTCAGTGGTGCCCTCTCGGTCACTAGTTTTACCGGTTAGTAGTGCCACCTATAGCAAGTTACAGGTCAAGAAGGTAGCGGCAAATACCCCTCAAAGGGATTCGTATATCCCTCCGCCACCTCCGCATCCAATAGCGTCCCATCGTTTCCGCGACGTCGTAACCAACGCGGGAGGAGTCTTGCCTTCCTGTAAATATTTGCCTTATCTTTAGACTTTGGCTTAGCATTGTGGAAGCGACGAGAGGGAGATTAGAGTTTTCCCCTTCGATGGAAACAAATGCGGATTTTGAGGGTTAGGTTCCCCCTCCAATGGATACAAAGGCTACTTTCAGAGGCTCGGTTCCATCTCCGACGAATACAAAGATTTCTTTCTTAAAAAACCGCATCTCCACGTGGTGAATGATGTTGATTGGGGCAAAGCTCTGGTGGTGCTTGTCTGCGTAGACGCTGAGCCGCAGCATGGCAAGCCTTTCGTTCGTTTTCATCCATGTCACGCTGCGGTCAAATGCTCAAATGCGTATATAACCATGTTCCATACCACACATTCTCTTTCCGACATGGATGAAAACGAACGAAAGGCTCGGCATGCTGCAGCTCAGCGTCTACGCAGACAAGCACCACCAGAGCTTCGCCCCAATCAACATCATTCACCGCGTGGAGATGCATTTTTTTTTTTTTTTTTTTCCCCCTACACGAGCACGGGAGCACATACTCACGTGCTCGTGAGCACGAGCACCCGACATCGGACGGACATACGGACATGGCTAGCCCCTAAGGAGCTTCGCCCCTAAAAGGGGGGGGGTCGGAAACAAGTTGGCATCACTCTGTATCCAATATCTATCCACTGAAGTGCAACAAGGGGCATTTCCAGTAAATATTCTTTCGACTGTGGAGGGATTTGAAACTGGCACATCACGCTTGTGGGAGGAGCTTCTCTTACCTTTTTGGCTTGTAACCGATTATAACAGTAACGGCATTGATAAAATGAGAAAGTGAGGGCATGATGTTACCTAGAATAAAAGATAAGAAAAAAATTCTTCACGAGAAAAAATTCACCCAAGTCTAATATTCGTTGTGCTAAAACATCACAGTTATGGGTGCCATCGCATTTGTTATGACGAAAAAAGGTTCCGAGCAAGAAAGAAAAAAAAAAATGACCGCATCTCCACGTGGTGAATGATGTTGATTGGGGCGAAGCTCTGGTGGTGCTGATGGTACTGATTTTATTGTTCATAGGGAGTGCTAATGGTGCCGATTTTTTTTATTGCTCTATAGGTGGTGCTGAGTTCCGGGTTGCGTTTCGACTTCATTATTACTGCTTTATGGTCGGTGAAATGCAGAGCCAGTGGTTCTAGCGGATCAGCTTGGATCCGCTAGAAGCCGTGAGAACACATCTCCGCTTAAGTCAACGGTCCATGTCAGAAAGAGAATGTGTGGTATGGAACGTGGTTATATACGCATTTGAGCATTTGACCGCAGCGCCCTCTCCTGTATAAACGTTGAGCGGCTACATGCAACGTTTCATCCATGACAGAAACCCCAGCTCTTGAGTTACTACCACCTCTCGGAGCCCCCTATTCGTCCTGCAGTCGTGGTTGAGTGGTTAAGGCAATGGACTAGAAATCCATTGGGGTCTCCCCGCACAGGTTCAAATCCTGTCGACTGCGCAGACATTTTTTCTTTTTATGCGAACACGGACAGGCAAGACTAGACCCTAAGGAGCTTCGCCCCTAATATTCTCTTTCTTTCTGACGAGATTTTTCACTGAAATGCTACAGTTCTCAACCATAAGCGTCACCGGCATTTTTTATGTGTCTTGGTTTAACAATATTGGGCTTAGGCAGACGTCGGCTCACAGAGAAACACTGGCGTAGCTAGGGGGTAGCCTTATGGGAACTTCCCCCCAAATCCAGTCAACCCTATAATATACACATGCATTTTTGATCCCCCCCCGCTTTCCCCTCTCCCCTCACACTAGTCATGGACATCCCAGTCACTTCAGCACCTGCCCGCCCCCGCCGCCCCCTCCCTCCCTCTCCCCCTCCCCCCCCTCTCCCAGAAAACAAAAATTCCTGACTGTAGAGAAACATTGATTTTTCTTTTGTAGCTTCATGCAAAACGTCACGTTTGCAAACTTTCGCATTCCATCACCACAGCTAGTGTCGCATTTTCAGGGAGTTTCAGCATTCTGCCATGCATAGCTTATTAATGAAGGCCAGGAAGCCGGGTTTCGATTTCACTAAGTAGCCACAATAAAAACTATGCCAACGAATGGAGTACAACTGAACTTTATTAACAAAGGTGGTTTTAGGTGGTGCATTTATCACTCAAACTTTGTGAGCGTAGGTTTCGGGGAAAACAAAATGAAAGCAAAAAAAAGTGTTACTTATATGCACAAGTAGAAAAACTGAAAAATGCCACTACTCGCAGGTGACGCCACAGCACTAAAATCTGCTGGACATTCTTCTGGGGTGTTCACCTCAGAGGCATTCCAGTTTTTGTTCGATGTGGTGCCATGAATAACCAGGAGGTTTGTTTCAGTTTCTCTTTCTTTGCATTAAAAGAACATATTTTCTTCCTTTTGTTTTTCAAGAAACCTAAACTTAACATTAAAGCATGATGAATGCAGCACCTAAAGCTGATCCTACATGCATCAGCGCCACTCCTGGTGACAGAACTTACTAGGGCAAAGTTTCTAGACCAGTTAGTAGTTGATCCAAGAACTTTGGTTACAACGTGTGCCCTCCCAGTTCATGCACTAGGTTTTTAATGCTAAGGCACCGAGGCAAGTCAACCGAGAGAAGTGGCACCCAGGGTGGCCACAGCAAGGCAGACTCACCAGAGTTGTCGGCCGTGACGATGGCCGTGCGCCTCGCCGGGTGGTGGGACACTGCCGAGACGAGGGCCTGCAGGGCACACTGGTCACCATTCGCAGGCTGCACAGACACCAGGTCTGGCTGCGACGAACTCCTGTGGAGGAAGAGGCTTTAGACATCCTTTCTTGGACAACACCTCTTCTCCCGCTCTTGGTGCAACATGACTAGACCTAGAAGTGCAAAGTCCAGGATTGATGTAGGGCCAGAAAGGACACCTTAACCGCCGGACCGTTACTTTTCCAGTACTACATGTCGTATCTCGATTCTAGGCAGGGTGGAGAAAAAAATTAAGACAATTTAAACTGCGACTTAAATGACAATATAAATTGCGATTTAAAGCTGACCAGTTTTACCATGATAATTTAAATCAAACCTTTCCCAAAAAAATATATTCCGAATATGTATTTTATTTACTGCTTGTATAACATTTGATGCTTACTATATGCACATGTTTTGTATTTAAATGAAAGACGTCAACCAAGGAAGATTTATATCGGCAGAGCACGAGCAAAAAGCAGTGCCCTTTTGAGCAAATCCGAGCGTTGAGCTTTATTCTACGTTGCACTTCGATCAATTATGTAAAGGCGCATTCCAAGCAAATCGGAATGCAAAAGAAAGGAATGAAAACTAGAAAAATCGAAACGCGAAAGGAAAAGCAAATGAAGCTTTTCAACTAACAAAAATATTCAAGCTGTTCCCTTCCTAGTATGGTGAGGTTTACATCAATAAAAAGTTGTTAAATTGTAAAAGTCATTGCTTTTCTAGGCCTTCAAGTCTTCTCTCGCTCTTAGGCATACTTAACTGCAGACTTTGAAGCAGGAGGTCTAGCAGACATGATGGCCTATGAACGCCTCCATGACTGCTGGACCGTTGCTCCTCTACGCCTACCGTCTTCTCTTGCTTCCCATTTGTGTCAGTATGCTGATGTAAAATATACAACATTCAAACCTAATACCATTTCACAACGCCATTCTTGAACACTGATTGGCTATCCGTCTGCAGTGTCTTGTGTTCTTTACAAGTCCACAGGTGTCCTGATGAAGAGGCTTGATTTTTGCGAGCTAATATGAATAGCGGCGTAAGAACCGTTCCAGCTCCGAAGATTGTGTGGTGCCTGAAAAATAAGTAGGTGTTTGTCGATGTAATCCGCGTCGGCTAAGCTGTTTTCTTTCTGTTATTTTAATTAATAAAACAGTTGCGACGACAGCTTCGCACCGTTTTCGTCGTTTGAACAGTTTTTATCATGTATAACGTTTACCAACTCGCCCAGTATGCTACGTTACAGAAGACTAGTTCTTATATAGGTCACGAGTAACAACAGTGACAGTGAGCAGCTCTGAAGGCCACGGGGGTGGCTCGCCGTAGAAGGGCACTACCACACAAAGGCAACGTATGGAAACACCAGCACGAACGGCTAGAAAATGTGCAGGTCCGTGGAAGAAAAAATTTTCGGTATCCTACCGATAGTCCTATCTTGTTTTCAAAGGTTAACAAAAGCTAGCTACAAGGAGAATTTCAAGCACCGCGTTGTTGCACATGCACTTTCATATTTTCGGCATTTACAGTTTTGCTTTTTCGGTTTTAGGCAGACATTAAGTTTTCAACCTTTTTCCTTATCTTCGGGTTCATCAAGTTTTCAGTTAGGCTTTCGCTGCCTAGAGGGTATACCACAAAAAAACTCACCCGCAATTATTAATTTGGGGGCGATATACCCAATAAGCTGAATAAATATCACAAAAAAGTACATTTTCTTTTTCTACAAAGCTGACGAATTTTATTGATAATAAATTTATATATGTTACGCATGATCCCACAGCCTTCATAAAAAGGAAGAAAAAAATCTGAGCTTTTCTCTGCATACGCTCAATGGCCGGTCAGCTTTTCTCTGCATCCGCCGGTTTTGTGGTGAGCTTTTCTCCGGGATTCGACACTCCGACGCAGAACGACTCAGCCTCGCCTCGGCCGACTTGCTTAACCGCTTATGGTTGAAGAATAACAATTCAGTCGCAGGTGTTGGTGCTTAGAATGCGATACAGAGTTTTTTTCGCACGCTTCTGACTCTGGATACACAGGGTGAATAAACAGAACAAAGGATTGCAAGGTTGACCAAGCTAAACGCGCTCATTGTTGCCAATCTAGTCGATAGAAACCGAGATTAAGACAAAATTTTTGGCGCACATTTTGCGATTTGGTGCATAATGGCGCAAGGTATTGCCTGTGGCGCAGTTTCTGCAACATGGCAAAAGATGGCGCAGACAAATGCGTCTGGCGCAAAATGGCGCAGTCGTTCCACCCCCGATATTGTCCAAGCAATACTTTATTGGGCAACGTTCCCACAAAAATGCCCACCGCCTAGGCTGTGTCACTAGTTTCTAAGGGGCAGGGGTTCTCCATCCTAGGGAACACCAACCTTCCCCGTATGACAGCCAAAGAGCTTCTTCCCTCTTGGCATTGTTACAACAAAACATTGCAGAAGCCTAAAGGCTGTTGGCAATAATTCGCACGCTAGGGAGTGCCTGGCTCATTTATGTGCATCCATGAACAACCAAAAGTGCCTTACTCGAATGTAGAAACACCTAGGCCTCTGGGAACCCAGTCTGAAAATCCCTACTGTTGGACTCAGTTCTATCATCAACGTGAAGTGGGTTTCAATTCAGGTGTTCTATAGCCCGTTGCAACATTGATGGATGGATGAAAACGGCCAAGCCCTTTAAATTGGGTAGCGGCTTCCACCACTTAGCCAGTGCTTTAGTATCAGCCATTGACCTCTACCCAACGTACAAGGCATTAACAGCAGTGACGCATACCCAGAAGCTGACCGATGCATCACAACAGTTACAGTGCAAACAGTCAAGCCACATGCCATGTTGAGTGCGGCGCAGAACCTCCAGAGGGACCAATCAACACCGCTTTCACACTTTTCAGGTTCAGCTACGAGCATTGCTCCTTCAAGATGCCCAATGTGCGAGGTCAGTCGTCCTCAGTACTTGCACGACTACCTTTAGGGGGAAGGTGTGTTGTGTACTGAAGTGCTGCGTGAGAAAGCATGAGGCACGAGGGCATCTGCAAACTCACCTTTGCATGCTCACGCAGGACCATGCACTTAACTCCGAGCCTCCTTGAGGGAACTTTCTCGTTATCCTGCCTTGTACTAAGTAAAGCTAATGGCACATCGCACTAAGCCTACAATGTGCTGTCCCTATCAGTACTGCAGAGACAATAAACTGACGACACACTAGCCAGTGTCCAGCACATTCTAACCAGATACTCCAAATGCAAACCCCCTCGTGTCGTCTTGGAACGTCTTTATTTTCTCAGGAATCCCACATCATTCCCCCCGCAGGGGGGGGGGAGTGACCATCCCCTACTAGTGCCACACCACTGGCTACAATACCAATAGACAACTTGTGGCCACATTCTTCTTCCCCCTTAACTTCTGGTCTGCTTGCAGGAGCAGACGTTTCTTGATGGCGGCCTCGGACCCCGACTTGCCCCTGCCCAGCAGTTTGCACAGGCCCCGGGTGATCCGCTTTTCCAGGCGTCGTTGAAACTGGTTCATCAAAGGTGGCACCTTGATGCCCTGCTAACAGACTGCCATCTGCAGCTGAATGCGAACCTGCTCAGGTCACCGCATAAAGCGGATTGGGTCACGCTAAGGCTTCTCTAGACTGTGCACTGCTTTTTTACTTTTCAACCTTCTTGGTGGTTGGCAGGATTGAGCTTTGCGGCAAGCTTCTGTGAGGGGCCCTCTAGGTGGTGCGCTACAGAAGTGGATTCTCAACCGGCAGCTCCATCTTGCTCCTGGTTGTTCCCGGGCAAAAATGACGTAGCCGATGTCCTCAGTTTTTTTGGGGTTGTGCAGTTGCAAAACAGTGATCGGTGTTCTTCCGGAGAAAAGTTGTGGATGGGCTGGCGACAGGGGCAGGCGGGAGGTGGGGTGAAATGGTGAGAGTAGCGGCGACATTGTGCCGGCTTACAACTCCTTGCTGCTCAGTCGGATCCGGCCCAGTTCAAGTGGCACATTTAGCATTGCCCGCAGGCGTCCCAAGAAGGCGTGGCGAATGGTGATCGAGGCGGCCTCAATTTTGGCGGATGTAAGGAGCTGCAATTTTGCCGACACCTGCAATTGCTTCAGTTCTGCTGTAAAAGATCTGACACCGCACCCTCTACAGGGTGTTTCTGAGCAATATTTGTGTGTGAAAAGTTCATATAATTAAGCCAATGAACCAAGTACAATTAAACTTTTCATAAAGGTGTCTTTAGTTGGTGCATTTTCTATACTAAAAGTTAATGTAAAGGAATTGGAAAAAAAAATTCAGCCTAAAAATTGTTTTTTTTCTATGCACAGGAAGGAAAACTATAAAAACGATCATGAGGGGGGCGTAATTTGCATCTTCAGAGAGATTTTTCTGTCAAACTACAGCCACACAAACTGGTCAAAACTGAAATTTCCCGGGTAATACGGGAGACTTGGCAGGTATGCATATGAAGACAGGGCAAACTCGTTTAGAAAAAAAATTTATAAAAAAGGCCGCAACAATTTAACAGCATGATACTATAGTTCTTTACAATTTAGAGAAGAAAAAAATATATATGCTATGAAAAGTGGCCTAAAAAGGATGCTTGTTAAGGTTTAAAATCTATCTTTACACACAGGGTGCTCCGTTTTCTAGGAGGATCTTTTTGCCTCCAATTGGGGTCTCTGGCAACAGAAAGAGAGGACTCGTACGCTGAGAGGGGAGCATCCTCAACAGACCCGAGCCCACTTTCAGTCATGGGCTCTACTGTTGCCGCCGGCAGCTGACCCTTAGAGATAGACTGCTTCGGCAACTTCCCGGGCTTCCTCTGGGGAGCAGAGGATCGAGGAATCGAAGTGGCAGATGGAGCAGAAGGCGTCATCCCCTTCTCCGGGGTGAATGCTGACGACGCAGCACCCACCTTGCAATTCCGAAACGGTGCCACTGGCACCACTCCGAAGGACACTGAAGGAGACCGCGATGGGAGACAGATCGTCCGGAGATGTCCGTGTTTCAGTCGAAACCACTGGCCGAATCGATGCCCTGAGCACGGCCTGGGCATAACAGCCTTTGGAAACAAAGGCAAAGCACTTCTTTGCATGAGTGTAAGAAATGTTTTCAGTAGCCTTCAAGGTGAGGATTTTTTTCTTGTTTCCATAAAGGGCAGGATCGGGAGTATGCTGGAAGCTTACCGTTACAGTTGGTACATTGAGCTTCATTCACACACACACATCAGCGAAATGCTCCTTACTAGGGCACTTGGCGCAGGTGTTGCTACCCTGACAGTTTCGCGACACATGGCCGAATTTTCTGAACTTAAGGAACTGCCGAGGGTTTGGCACATAGGGCCGGACACAATATTGAAGGTAGCCTGCCTTTACAATAGTTAGAACAATCGGAGTCGATGGTCAAAATAACATTACTTGTTTTGCATTCTATGCCATCACGGCGTATGGTGATGCATTGCGCTGTAACAACTCCCCGATGCCCAAGTAGCTTTGCATCTGTCGTGTCAAGCAAGTCATCATCGGAGATGACACATTGGACAGTGTTTAACTTTTGGTGAGGGGTCACATTAGCCTCGTAGTCTGAGCAAAGTTCAGGATTAGAAGAGATTCCCTTGCTTTCTTGTATTTATACCAATGAGAAGGTTGCCCGATGCCATTGTTTTGGCGCTGAAGTTTGCACCAACAACACCTTCGAGCACTTTGGACACTAAAAAAGAGGAAAGTTTAACAAGTGGCTTTTTGCCCCCCGAGTGCAGAACAAGAAAATCGGGGAATGTGAAAAGATTGGAGGTTCTTTGTGGCTACGGCGAGAACGTTGGTGCGACCTCCTTCCAGAGCCCGATCAAGAGGTTGTAATATGCCATAGCAAAAACGGCTTAGCTGACGCAATTACTATACCAGTGCTGCCCAGGCACGATACCCAAGTGTAGTTGCAGGTACAGGACCTGGTTCCAACTAAGGTTGGCCCTTGCCACCTAAGATTGTGAAAAGGAAAGAAGAAACAGTAGTCGAAAGAAGTGAAAGGAGGGAGAAGAAGGTAGAGGAGGCTACTGACTGAACCACCCTGGTTAGGCCAAGCCAGGACACTCGTCTACGGGGAGCAGGGGCCAAAGTTGTATATTGCCTTGCCCTGGGTGGGGGTGGGGGGGGGGGGGGGGGTGGGGGGGGGAATGGTCCAAAGATACTTTGGGCTCGGCTCAACCACTAGGATCCCCTATTCCACAGACAGGGGCTAAACCACGTACAGCCAGGCGTGGGTGTATGAACCCACATGGATCGTGTTTCGTGGTGATGCCACCCACCAAGGACCTAACGCAGGTGCCCCCTGCGGGGATGTTCCCTCGAGGGGGCTCAGAGCAGGAGTGCAAGGTCCTGGACGAGCACGCGGTAGGGCATTTCCGCTGGTGCTCCGTGCCCCGCACGCTCTCGCTCTACGCTTTCGGTCCACAACCTTTGAATAATAAAGGCCCATCCATACAGCAGACCACGCTACGAGGGCTTGCGTCGAGTTACGACCGCGAGTCACGAGGACATACACGGTTCGTATAAAGCATGGCGAGGAAGTAGCTTTGCACGAAACATATGAAACACGGACAGCCCAGTGGCTTGCGGTCGTGTCACACACACAGTAACGTAGGTAGTCAAGCGCTGCCGCGCGACTTCCTGTCGTCCCGCAACATGGGACAGTTGCGCTTTCAAATTTCGCTGGCAAGGTGAGAACAGCAGGAAGAAGCTTCAGTTGTTCCGCCTCTCCAGCGCAAGCTTCCCACCTTCGGCCACACTTCGGCGTTTGCCAAAGCACGGCAGAAGGCGTAGCACGCTAGTTGGAGGCCGGGCGTTCAGGACGCGCCCTGCCCTTCTCATTCTGTCAGTGGCTCCGGCGGTTAAACCGAACTTGAGTCGGCGCGCCAGGAGCCTCGAAACTTTTCGGAACTTCGGTAGGGCCAGGGACTGCCTTTCGGCCAGCGCGTGGGAGGAACCCTCGATGACAGCCGACCACGTGGATGGACGGTACCGGCATAGCCTTGTTTGCATGGTGAAATACGAGCGATGCTGCCTTATCCGATACGCGACAAGCGGTCAGTGTGTCTGCACGCACGAACTGACCCGACTGTCCCCCCGCACCGAGTGCTAGAGTCGAAAAACCGCAACGGGAAGGAAAGCCCGGGCAGCCGTGGCCCACATACCAGTGGTAGCAAGCGCCCGGGCTGGCGTCGAGGAGTTCCAGGCTGTAGTTGGTGGCCACCTCTTGACGATACGGCAGCAAGACGCGCGGGACGTTGAGTCTGGCTCCGTCGCACAAGAGGAGAAATAACCCAAACAGGAGGAGCGACTCCTTTAGCGCCATGTTTCGAATGCACGGCCGACACGACGGAAAGTCGTTGATATACGATCCCCGGATGCAGAGATGGATGGATAAATGAATGTTACTGGCTATACCCTTTGTAGCGGGCGGTAGCTTGCGCCACCTAGCTTAAGTCTAAAACAGACAAACATTTGATTCCTTCGAAGGGCGAGGGCGAGACGGGCCGGGGAGGAGGAAGCAGACAGAACGCTAAAGAGAGAAGGGGGTTTTCCTTTCTCTGCTCCAGCGTTCCGTATGCTTCCTCCTCCCCGGCCCGTCTTACCCTCGCCCTTCGTTCTTAGGTTTTCTCTCGCTTTCTGCCACCATTCAGTTAATCTTTGCTTGGTAATTTCTTGTGATTGCCTGAAGCTGAGCAGGTTGGTTATTCATACTTGTAGGATATGCCAGCTGAACAAGAGAAGAAAAAATATACAAGACAGAGAGAGTCACAAGGAACAAACTAGCGGAGTGTGTGTATTTGTTCTTTGTGACTCTCTCTGTCTTGCATATTTCTTCCTTCGTTCAGCTGGCATATCCTACAAGTATTGGTCATTTCTACTGTCTTGAAATCCACTCTTCCTTCGCTGTCTCTAAAACCCACTGACTTCATTAAATCTATGTTGTCTTCAATACGCCTCGCAAGTGGGCTCATTTTCGTCTTTTGCGCATGAGAAAGGAAGTAGCGGTGACGTCAGAACGCCGAGCCCTGATTGGCTGATCGCGACCCCCTATCTCGGCGTCGTCTGCTCCTTTGCAACTTCGTCTGCTCGCAACGTCGTCTGCGTCTGTCTTACCTTTCCTGCGACTTTCGGAAGTGCAGGTCTTTACGAGCGAGCTCGACTTCGCCTTTCAGAGAGGGCAGACGAAATAACTCGAGCGGTGCGTTGTTTTTATCTAACAACTAGCAGACGCGCACTAAGGAGGGAAGTCGAAGGACTCACTGGCGAGGTGTCCTGAGGCGCCGAGGTTTGTTTGCTAAGAACCGAGCGTGTGTACGCAAGTTCCCTCCCAAATACTTTTTCGCTCCTTTCGTGTGCGGCGAGAGGTTGGCGCAGTTAACGTCGTCTGCTTTACGTCTGCTAGTCAAAGCGATGGCTGCTTTACCTTTCCTGCGTCTGTCGGACTCGGAGATTCACCGCTTTTTCACCGGCGAGAGTCACCGTTGCCTCGGGAAACAAGGAGATAACAAGAGGAAGAAATTGAACTCTTAATCTAAAATTGAGGTCAGCGATCAAAGTATAATACGGGAAGGGTTCACAAGGGTCGCGCGGGCATATTCCATTCAGTACGCCAGCCGGTCGTGGGCAGCCGGTCGCCGAGTCGCAGAGTGCCTGCTAGGCCTAACTGCCGAAGCTCGCTTGGTCGCGTTCGGTGGAATCGTGGCCGTTGAAGCTTTTCCCGGGTGTTTGTGGATCCAGCGCTCTTGTTCGTCGTGGTCTGTTTCAAGTACTTTTTACTTTTTTCTTGCTGCTTGAAGTCGGGACGCGTGAGAAGCGCACATAGAAAAATAAACGTCCGTGGGTCGTCGCGGCCATGCTGATTTGATCGTAAGAAGTGCGTAAGACGGCTTCGGAGCTGTCGTAGGATTTCGTTGTAACCTGCGCAAAACTTACGAAAATTTCGTTTCGTGAATACGAATTTGTTCCTAAGTTTTGTCTTGCGCACATTTTTGGCGTAAGATCGTTTCTTGAATCTGGCCTCTGCACTTCCGAAAGTCGCAGGAAAGGTAAGACAGACGCAGACGACGTTGCAAAGGAGCAGACGACGCTCAGATAGGGGGTCGCGATCAGCCAATCAGGGCTCGGCGTCCTGACGTCACCGCTACCCCCTGCGCAAGAAGCAGACGAACGTGCCCTCCGCATAGGCATAGGGTGAAGCCCTTTACAGCAGAGTATCAAGTGCTCAGCCGTCTCGTCCTCCTCTCCACAAGCAGTGCACACTGTATCCATTTCCTGGTACTTCGCTTTGTATGTTCCGGTTCGCAGAACACCTGTCCTCGCCTCAAAGTTCCGCCGCTTTCCCCCTTTCTGATTGTGCAGAAAGAGTGAAAGCCCCGGATGAGAGGCTTGGCCGGTGTTGGGTGTCTGCTGTGCCCCAACTTCGTTCGCGCTTTCTTTTCTGTTTTGAACTCGCAAACTTAATTAGAGCTACGGGCTTCGATGGCAACAGTCCCCCGGTCATGGGGACACCATTGCTCGGTCATAGGGTGCACGAATAACGACAGAAAGCGTCGAATACTGCCCAAGGACCTCGTAGCTTGCATGGAATCCGGCAAGGCAAGTGCGGCTGCAATGTTTTGGAGCTCCACCACTTTCCGCATAACTGGAAATGATGAACCATTCATAAATTTTTGCTTGCAATAGGCTTATTTCAACGTCGCCGTTTTTAGTCATGAACAAGCGATACACGAAACGGGAACCTCAATTAACGTAAATACACGGAGCTGCTACAGATCGTTTTGCTGCGCTGCTTTTATCTTGCGTGTCCGTGTTCTTATATTTCCTTGTGGATGAACGACGAAGACGTTCTAGATGTGCTTATATCGAACCGCAGAAAGCCTCAAAGCAGCCACGAATTATTTTACTATTTGATGCAATATTTTGGGTACTAACCTCCAATTTCTATCACTGACACGTTCGCTGCCGCTGTTCCCCTCGTCGCCGCACTGGCGGATGCCTGGAGAAACGTGCACACTGGGCTCGAAGACGCAGATCGCAACACACGAGACATACCCTGCAGCGACTATCCAGCGCTTCAAAGCGCCCAATCAACAGAAACAACCCACCAGCGGCACTCCAAGGAGCGCTTTTGCCGGGTCTCTGGTATCGCGCAGGATATCGCGATTCAGGAAAACCGATAGAACTACCTTTTCAACAATTTCTAGCCTCACCCGGTGGCGGAAATGAACCTTGCAACTAAGTGTTGTAAATGATGAAATCGAGTCAGTCACCACTGCAAATTATCAACATTAAGATAAATTCAGTTACAAACTTTTACAAGCTGAAACAGCAATTATCACGAGAAAACTGGCACGCACCTTGCGAGCGTACCCCATGTTCATCGGCGGTACAGCGTTCGGTACGCGCTCCATTCACAATATGTTCCGAGCACAGTCGAGAGGATGGCGTTTAGGAAACGTCTTTTCGGTTTACGGACGCAATCCACTGCCGCCAAGACCGGGGTTATGTGAAAAGCGATGGAGCTTCAAAACATTGCAGCCGCACTTGCCTTGCCAGATTCCATGCAAGCTATAGAGGTCCTTGGGCAGTATTCGACGCTTTCTGTCGTTATTCGTGCACCCTATGACCGAGCAATGGTGTCCCGATGACCGGGGGACTGTTGCCATCGAAGTCCGTGGCTCTAACTAAGTTTGCGAGTTTAAAACAGAAAAGAAAGCGCGAACGAAGTTGGGGCACAGCAGACACCCAACACCGGCCAAGCCTCTCATCCGGGACTTTCACTCTTTCTACACAATCAGAAAGGGGGAAAGCGCCGGTAGCCCTTTCCCCTTTTCTCTCTCGCCCTCTTTTAGTAAAACGGTCTATAGCTCCCGGCCCGGCGACCACTCCTTCTTGTCTATGTTTTTTTCTTTGTAAATAAATGAAGGGCCGCTTTGGCCACCTCGAGCTTTAATAGCAGACTGTAAAATAAATAAAAAAAAACATTAATTTGTTTGTGCTGTGCTGCACACTTTGCGGCACAAATAATGAAACGGACTTCCCATTGTTTCAGAAGTTGTTCACCAGATGGCGCCACGTTTCAGGGGCAAATTTCAGTGCACAGTCCCTATATGGACAGAAGCGATGGAATTGGTGGAACATTGGATTCAGACTGCCTGCGGTGGAAGGCGATTCTATAAGGATAAAAACCGACAGAGAGGGAGGAGATGGGAATACATATGGACGTGGGGCTACCAAGCACAACATATCTGGAATGATAAGTGGGCATTCGGCAAAGCTAGCTGCCCTTGTCTCTACTCGCTGTTCGAACGCAAATGCCGGACTCTGGCATTTGAACAATGCTTAGGTAGACGTCGGCTCAAAGAAAATGTCTTTCTTTTTCATCTTTTTATCCAAGTAACATCATGTTGTATCCCAGCCGTTTTCGTCATATTCTCACGAAGTTTCAGCTTTCTGCCATGTAAACCGTATTTACTCGTATAATCCTCACACTCGCGTAATCCTCGGACCCCTAATGTGAGCCACCAAAAATTGGACTTTACTTTTCCTGGCGTAATCCTCGCACCCCCAAAACTGCAGCGGCAAAAGTCACCTGCTCGCGAAACCCGCATGATGCACGCGCTCTCCACCGCCCGCATTTTCTGGCACCGCGCCGCTCCGTTTGGCCAGTCCTTTAATGCTCCAAGCGCTCCAAGGCGCCCTACGGCGCCTTAGCGCCATCTCCCAGACGCTAGTCACACTGTCGTTGAGCCAGTTTTGCATGCGTGCAACTAGGTGGCGTTCGCGCTGCCCGCGGTCGTCGAGAAATAGGAAGGTTGGGGAGGTGACGACGAGGCAACGATTAGCGATGCTAGGACTGATTCGCACTGAGGTCGTTATCAGCAGTAACCGGACAAAAGCTCACCATTTTTTCACAGTCCCGGACAAAAGCTCACCATTTTTTTTTTCCGACCCGGGCGAAACACAGGCTGGGATAATGTGCGGACGCGATGGACATTGCATCATTTTTAGAACTGGTACCCACTGATCAGTGCTGGTACCCTATCCCATGCAAATGTGTCGATAGATAAGCCATAACAGGCCGAGGAGCAACAATTTGGGACCAAAATTGAGGAGCAAGCTTGCTTGACTTAGGGTATGCCGGAGCACCTTGTGCCACACCCAAGAAACTTCGTGAACCAAATTTTTTGAACCCAAGGAGTGACCAAAGAAGCGAAGTCACACTTCGATGACCTCGCTTTTCTATTGTGCTTATGCACGCACATAAAGGTTAGGCGCAATGTCTCTTCATTACTGATGCATGGGTTTTCTTGGGGTTCAGGGTAATATTTGAAGTGAATTACAAGGAAAATTAAATTATTTCCATCATTGTGCATCAAAAATGTATTTGAAATGAAGGATTTGATCAGGGTGATGTGAAAGGGAAACTGGACCAAGACAGTAATATACAAATTATTGAGTCGCAAATTTTTAAAAAGATGTTTATGGGACGGGAGTTGGACCTTTTGGACAAGTACAAGACAGATGACCAATTTAGAAAGCCGTGCGGGAGTTTGGATAGGCTGGCGCTCCTTCCATCAGAACTTGTACCCGAAGAACTAACCTATATCAGTGAGAAGTCTACCGGTGACATCGGCGACCTGCTGAACTACTTCGACTGCATGTATGTCAACGGCCTCTTCCGTTATGCTTTTGCTGCTTCTGCAGTGGCACCCAGACCGAATTCTTCCCTTTGCCTGACTGTGCGCCGACGACGACCGGAGTTTCCCCCGGTGCGGTAGAATATGCACTACGCCACTCAAGAAAATACTGGATGACCAACACCTGCGAACGATGGAACATCAGGTTCCAGAAGCTTGTCGGCCACACCCATCCAAGCTTCAGCAGGCCGACTGAATGCCGAAAGAAAAATCAGGCGCTTGTTGCCATGGCATTGACACAAGCTCGGAGAGGTGAACCCCCAGAGAAGCGGGTGCGAAAAACCACCCTGCGCCTGCAGAATCGTCTGAAAAATATTTTCGAAGGGTTCCAGGTACACTTAGATCTACAGACTGCTGGAGCTAGTAAGGGACTGCATTCGCTTCTAACCATTCGGTAAATAAAATTTTTTTTACTCTAATCAACAAACCGTATGCGTCTGTCAGATTTAATTTATCGTTGCATTTTAGTGTCGCACGCGTGCACCTAAGTTGTCTGCACTCGAGTTAAGACCAACATGAAATTTTCTCCTGGTGAGCTTTTGTCCGGGTCTGTGAAAAAATGGGTGAGCTTTTGTCCAGTGAGCTTTTGACCGGGATTCGTTATCAGCGACGTAGGTAAGTCTTAACTCAGACTGTGTTTGCAAATAAACCTTGCTTTGTGTTGTACCTGTGTTTTTTTGTTTTTTTTAAGGTAAGTTTTGCATTCATAGTTCTCAAACCTTGTAGGTAGCTGCCGGCGCAAAAACCCCAATTTGCAGCCGCTTTTCTTTTTTTTCTTTTTTTTAGAGCTCTACGTTTTACAGAAAATGTTTTCCGCATATTTCTCACACCCCCCAACTTTCCATCAATTTTCCACAAAAAAAAAAGTGTGAGGATTATGCTAGTAAATACGGTAGTTTTTTTACACGGGCCAAACCACATGGTTCTCTTTTCTCATAAGCACCCAATATTTCTGTGGTGCTGCGGCTTTCCCGAGCCAAAAAGAGGCAATCACAAGTACAAATTCAACTTCTCATGGCAGAATGGACATGACAGACAGAGAAACTACACAAGGACCACTGAAAGCTAGAACACCTCTTTATTTCAGAAACAAGACCATGCCGCGTGGCGCTTGATCGGCTTTCAGGGTAAACCGACTCGAAACGACACAAATGAATTGCAGAAAATGACGAGAGCATTCCGAAATACCAGATGTAACTAAGGCATAGAAAAATCAGTGTTGCAACAAGTTGTCACACTTCCAAGTGTGTCACAGACTACATAGGGTCGTCAAACCTAAGAAACACTCTTGGATCTGTACAGAAGTTGTCGGTTCGTGGAACCTTTGGATGCTCTAAATGCCGTCCAGAGCTGAAAAAGACAAAAAAATTGTTGTATTTTTAAAGATTTTGCACACAAAGCTCTTCTCGTACATACAGCAGACAACTGTATGAAAAAAGAAATTCAATTTACTTCGGAGCATCTTGGCTGGCGAGACCCTTTTTGTTTGGTTAATCTGAAAATAATGATTTAACTATACAGCGTTTCACCCAAAGTTAATTACAGTGCAGTCAAAAACCAGAAGACACACCCGCACAAATTAAGAATGCAAAGTCGCGGCACTGTCTCTGTGCTCGAATGTTTAAGACGGCGAGAGGAAACGCACAAGACGGGAAGCGCCGTGATGTTGTGCTTTTAGCGCTGCTTCATTGACCTCGTCTGCTCGTAATGTTGGCTACGCCTTAAATTAAAGAGACACCGACCCCAAAAAACTTTGTTTTTAACTTGCCAAGTTAGAACACAAATGCCACAAAATAGATACCCCTTCTCCCCACCCTCTGGCAATCAATCAGTGTTGGCTCTTCGTCTGCCTAGTGGCACAATATTCAGCACCTAGTATTTCATGCAATGCTGTCCCTGCTAGCCTAGCTTCTGTGGTGCTCCAAAGCTGTCACAACTACTTGTGCGAGTATGCAGAAACGCAAAAGGAAGTTACATGCATGTGCTCTCGCAGCAGTGTTGGCCTGCGACACTGTGCAAGCTACATGGCACAAAACAGTTGCTAGCCTTGCATTGTTATAGTTATGTTATATTACCGTATTTACACGAATGTAGGTCGACCCTTTTTTCAATTTTTGAAAATCTGAAGTGGGGGGGTCGACTTATAATCGAACCAGAGCATTCCACCGCCGGCAAAAACGAAACAATTGCGATATCATGAACACCTCGGCTCGTTACGAGTTCAGCCGGCTGTACCTCTAGCATTGCACTACAGTATAGACCACTTACAACGTAACCGCTTATAGTGCAGGACCGGGTATAACGCGGTTTTTTTAAACCACCGGTTCGTCTCCCATAGAACTCCATGTAATTACATACCGCTTAAAATGCAGGCGCGCGAAGGGAAATACCGGTTATAGTGCGGTTTTTGGCACAGCCCGCCGGCCGCGCCGACGACCGGAGCAGCGAGCGCGCTTCCCTGTGCGACACTAGATAACGGCGCTGACGGCGCGAGCAGCAAGCGGCACTCGCGTGGCAGTTGCTCCAGAGCCGAGTTGCTCGAAGAAGCGGGAAGAAGCGAAAGGCTTCAGTTGCCACAGCGACGGAGGGACGCACGCACGTGTCGTTCACGTGCGTGCGTCCCTCCGCTGCGTTGGAAACAAACAACCGCAGCGACAGACCAATCGCAGGTCGAGGAGAAGTGTTGCGCGCGTTACATGCCGGTCGCGGGCTGGCTGCTTCTATCCGCAAACACGGCGTCGGTTGTGATCGTCGTCGTAGACGGCGTTCATCTCATCGTTCCGCGTAAAAGCGCTATCCTTGACTGTGAATTTTCGTTGTGTGTCGCTATGATAACCCAGCATGTACTAGAAGGGAAGATCTACCTACTCGTGCGGCGATGCCGTGGCGGCGCTTTCAAGACGGCAGAAACGCCCGAGTCGTCGTGTTTGCTTATTTCGACTACAGTGGTGATTTCTAAGCATTTGTGTCCTCGAACATCGCCCGGATTTCTTATTTGGCGTCTTTCATGCGTGCGTTCAAGTTCAAGGTATTACTGGCGCGTACCGTGTGAAGGATGCGAATTTTCACGCGTTTTCATCTCCGGAGAAAAGTGATTAGGGTTAGCAATCCTGAATGCTCGCAACGTCCGTCCGCAACCCGCGACGCCGTTAAAAGGCTGCGCCAGGCAAAAGCTGCTCATTTCTTTCAAAATGTGTAACACACTTGAGACGGAACTGTACTAGTCAGGTGAAATAAAGACTTTCCTCAAACTAAGCTTTATTTTTCATCTAACATAAAATAAATTTTTTTCACAAGTGTAAGTTGTCTCATGGCATGTATTTTGGCCTGAAAAATTGATGTTTTGGTTATAGTGCGGTACCGCTTATAGTGCGGATTTTCGCGACTCCCGCGACATACGTTATATGCGGTCTACACTGTATTCTCTGCGCTCATTTTACAAATTAATTTTTTTTTTTATTTGCACGAACGAGTACCGGTATTACTGATAGCGATTCGCAAATTAACCCAAATATATGGCGGTGAACAGCGCAAGGCGCTCCCGGGGGGTGGCGACACTTCTTGTAAGAGCCACTCTGGAGGCCGCTGGAACAGCCCCACGGCTCACTCGCCCCGCGGCTTCTCTTCGCACTTGCAGTTTTTCACACGATTCACGGTCGTGCTGGTCGCACATCGTTTGATTGAGTGATGAGATCATGCTGGAGTGCTAACTATGTTTTTTTTTTTTGTATTGACACGCATGATCTGGGCAGTTTAGGTTTTCGGTGCTCGTTTATGGCCATTCTTCACTCAGAAGCAACCAACAACTGAGCTGTTGGACGCAAGTTCGACCCGTCGGAGCGGGTGATGCTCCAGTGGAGCCTTCAGTGGCGCACTGTGCCGGCAAACGAAGAGGCTTCCGCAGGCCAAAGTCTGGATAGGTGGGGGTGCCTTCCTGAGTTGGAGGTCAGGCTTGCAACGTATGCCGCAAAAGTGTGCAAAGGGCGGAAGATGCGCTTAATCCTGTCATTTGCAAAATGCGAGATTTCGTTGGACGGCGCCGACGACGTGCATTGAGAACGTAGCAGTGATGGTGACGAGACTGACATCACCAGGGCGGACGAGTCGTAGTCTAGTCCCGGACGGAGTGAGAACGACAGTGAGCAGCTTCAGTTGTCCCACCTCCAGCGTGAACTTCCTAGTTTCGATAACGCCTGGCCATCTCATGCACTTCGCACGTGCATGCGCAGCCAAAGCATGCCAGAGGGCATCGATCGCGTGTTGGAAGCTTGGCTTTCGAAACAGATACATTGCCGTTCTCACCTTTTAGCAGTAAAACGCGCATCTGAAAATGTTTTTTTTTTTTTTTTTTGCTGATGTGCAATGTGGGGGGGTCGACTTACAATCGTGTAAATATGGTATATTATGCTATAGTTATATCATATTATACATTATCTTATGTTATAGTTATACCGTAGCTATACCATTCTAGGCCCATGACTGTTGGTAGGCACAATAAAAAATAAATACATAGATAAGACCAGCTATGCTAGCCTTATCTGAGCCCATGCCCACCTTCGACCGTTCTGTGGTACGCAAAGTGGAAGTACAGCAACGCCAGCAGGTGAAGCACGGCAGCCGTGGACGCTGCGACAGCCTTGTGGGAGACGCTGGCTGTCTTGGCTGCAAACACGGCCACCTATGGGAGCGCAGAGAAAAGTCGGGGATGTGGGCATCTGACGTATAGAGCCGCTTCACTAGCGGGAACGCGGTAGGAATGCGCGAATATTTGAATTTTCAAATACTAGTTTCGAATAATACATTATTCAATATTTGCTTCAAGATGAACCGCAATATTCATATTTTTTGAAGTGTCAATGGCAGCGGGTTAGCTACGTCGAGTGAACTTCTTAGTGAGCACCAGTGTGCTGCGTAGAAGCAATGCCCACGGAAGCGAACTCCGCAGGTATTGTTTCTCTGCAGTGCACTGGTGCTCGGTAAAATATGCACTCAATAAGGCTAACCTGCCGCCATTGACACTTCGCAAAATACAAATACTATCGCAGTTTGTCTCACAGCGAATATCAAATACAGCATGTTAATCGAGACTAGGTACAGTACTACTCGAAAATTCAAATATTCACAGAATCCAAAATGTTTTAACCAGGAGGTAAGTTGGGGCGAGTTGGTTGATCATCTTCAAGAGTGGAAACAACGCAAAAAAAATGACAAAGGACGAGTAGAAGGAGTGCACGGACACAGTGCTGACTATCAACTGAAAGTTTATTTTTCAAGCGAACCAGAAAATAAACAGCGGAAGCAGAGAGGAAAGAACCAATCAAGATACAAAAATACAACCCGATAAACAAGACTTCTACTACGTCATACCTCTTCCACACGTGCTTGCCACTGTTCTTGATAAAAAGGACTTCGTCAACCCCAAGTGCACCGACAAGTGCGCTAGCAGATTCCCCTTCCCCCTTCGATAAAATAAAAAAGGCCTCTTCAATCTCTTTGGCGGTCTTATTTTTGTTACGTGCCAGGATTGTCAGGTCATTGAACAAAGGCATGCAGCTGCACCATTCTGCAATGTAACCGCTAAGTGGCTACCGGGGTCGACCTGCAACTGCTACACCCACAACCTTACGACGTTGATTGCGGGTGTAGCAGAGTTCCTGATAAAAGTGTTTAGAGGTCGACCCAGTCCTAAGGTTAGACAAAAACCGACAACAAGGCCAGTGGTGGTGCTTTATGTCCTTGCCCTCTCCCATCAGGTTAAGCAACTGGCTTACAAGTATAACCTGTCAGTGGTCTTTTGAGCACCCCAGAAGTTGTCACGACTGTGCTCTGCTGTGAACCGAGGGAGTACCAGTGATTTCCATTGTGGTGTTAACCCCCGCACTCCTTCTGTCCCGTGTGCACAAGGGGTTGTGTACCAGATCCCCTTCACATGTGCTGGGTGTACATTGGACAAACAAACCAAATTTGGGGGTTTTACATGCCAAACAAACGACGGGCATCTAGCATGCCCCAGCGGAGGACTGAGGATTAATTTGGACCGTCTGGGGATCTTTTAACTTGCAACCGAAATCTCGGTTACACGGCGGTGCCTTCTCCGCAATAAGCCTCCGTCAGATTGCGGACACCTCGGCCGGGGTTCGAACCCGCCACCTGGGGATCCGTAAGCCGGCGCCTTGCCTCGGAGCCACCGAGGCGGCTACTGGACAAACAGGGAGGTGCGCGAATGCGATGGCGAGGGAGCATTCCCCTGCCCTCCGTTCCTCCCCCGCTGGCTACTTAGCGGTACATTGCAGTAGGTGGAGCTGCGTGCTTTTGTTCAATGACTTGGCGATCCTGGTGCGTAACAAAAATAAGACTGCCAGAGAGATTGAAGAGGCTTTTTTTTATTTTATCAAAAGGGGAACGGGAATGTGCTAGCGCACCACCGGTGCACTTGGGGGTTGACAAAGTCCTTTTTATCAAGAACAGTGGCAAGCACGTGTGAAAGAGGTACGACGTAGTAGAAGTCTTGTTTATCGGGTTGTATTTTTGTGTCTTGATTAATTTTTTCGTCTCGGCGTGCAGTGCTCATTTTCCGGTTTGCTTGAAAAATTAAACTTTCCGTTGATAGTCAGTGCTGTGTCCGTACGCTTCTTTTACTCGTCCTTTGTCCATTTTTTTTGCACTGTTTCCACCTTTGAAGACCAAAATGTTTTCTTTGCATTTCGTTTCTTGCGTTCCTACTGTTCCTTTTCTTCATTTTATTTTCTACTCCCCAGTCTTCTTCTCATCCTTCTCAATATTTTCTCCTTCCTACGCTCGCGGTAAGCTTTGAAATATTTGTAACCCGTCTTCGCCCTAGGTGTCGCTGTGCGGTGACAAGCCATCACAGCCAATGCTGCGACTCGTGTGGTCACATACGATTGGTGTCACGATTTGGTAGGAGCCCCACGAGCACGTACATGGCGGCTAAAATTACGCTTTCACCCCCCTTCGGTAGCGCATGGGTAGCGGTTCGGTAGTGCAGGCGCTGCGGTTCAATTCCGGTCAAGAGACAAAGTGATTTTCGCAAAGACGCTAGGCTGTGCTATCGTGTTTTTCGTTTATTTATTATCTTATTTTACGATACCGCCAGCGGAAGATATAAGCGAGGCCACTTAAAGAATAAAAAAATGCTATACAATGTTCAAATGTTATCAAAAGTCCAAATCCTCCAACAGCGGTATACAAAGAAAACAATTGTAATTGTATGCTTTATTTCGGACAAAAAGAGTCCGAGGAGCTGGGGCAAAAGAAGACAAGTAGCCCTCAGACAAGGCAGCAGCCCCTGGTTACAGCACTCCGAATATGCGACAGTTGCATGCCGTGCAAAAAGAAACAAACACAATCAATAACTGCAGATCAGAAACAAGTTAGCATGTATTGTACAATGGCTCCTTTAAATGTAAAAAAAAAAAAAAAAAATGTTGGCTCATGTCTTTTTAGCTATGATAGGGTGTTTGTTAAGTATATCTGGCATGAGATATTTGAGTTGTTACATACCGTAGTTAGTGTAAACTTTGGTTTTTGTAAAATGACTATATTTTAAACTGTAGTTTCCTGCCATTTTGTGGTAGGTATTGAAGGAAAGGGATTGGCTATGCCTAATTTAATTGAAAATGAGGACTGATAATTTAAGGATCATGTTTTGTTCTATAGTTAATATTTGTATTTCTGAAAAAAAGGCAATGAGTGCTGCACCCACGAAAAATTTTCAATAAACCGAAGATATCTTTTTTTTAAGGTAAATACTTTGTTCTTATTTGTTTGCATAGATCACGGGTGGCCAGGCTCACCCGGCCTAAGAGCCGCAAACAAAACCACTAAACTTCTAAGAGCCGCGGGGTGCAACTTTTGTCCAGAGCAATAACCGACACTCCAACTACTTTCAATCTATCCGAGTCAAAAGCAGTATGACTGTACGTAATGTAGCAGCAGTGCAAGACTAAGAAACAGCAACTGCCTGTCTTTCGATTTAAAACGCGTTCAATTTCTCTTTTTGGGTAAGTGCTCGTGTGAATGGGAGGGAGGTGTGGGAGTGTGTGTGTGTGTGTGTGTGTGTGTGTGTGTGTGTGTGGGGGGGGAGGTAGCCGCGAGCCGCACTTTAACACGCGAAGAGCTGCATGCGGCTCGCGAGCCGCAGCTTGGCCACCCCTGGCATAGATGTTTCCCCATACCAGCATACTGCTACTCTTACTCTCAAAACATGTGACACTGTTACTCTCCAAACAAAGTACGTCAAATGTTCTCAAATTCAGAAATGAGTCGCAGAGCAACCTTCACAACCTTTCATGACACTCGAGACTTCGAAAGCAGCCTTAAAATGCATTCAGCATTCAAAAGCTTTTTGGGAGCTCGGTGTCTTTAAATGCTGGATTTCTCGAAGAATTTCTTTTAGAAAAATTTGCACTCAAATGGGGAAACCAGTCAAACGAACTAAAAAGGGCAGTTTGACACTCACCAGCTTCAGGGCGGTGCTACCCCCCAGCACAAGCCAGACGCCGTAGAAGAACATGTGCGAGTGCTCGGGGTGGAACACGTTCCCCAGGAAGAGGGCAAAGCAGTGGCCGGACAGCGCATAGCCCTGAGGAAAAAATCATGCAAAATATCAAAATTAAACTAGGTTTTAGCTCACCCACTTCATTGCCCCTTCACTTTCCAAACACATCCAACCCCCTTGCCCTAAGCATTTTAAAGGGGCACTGACACTGCCCCCACCCCTCCTCCCCCCGAAAAGAAAAAACAAACATTTTTGTTTATTTTTTGTTAGGATATTTAATATTGTGCCAGGAGGCTACCCAATCATTATTTTGCTACGGAGTCACATGTATTCTTAATCAAGCCAAAAACCCAACTGCTCAAACCGCAACATGAGCATGGAAGCTCGTGGACACGTCGCGTGGACGATGTGTACTAAGGAGGAGGGAGATGCCGGAAGTCACGTGGTTACACTTGAACACATTTTTTAATGCGAAAGCATTAACTGTCTGATGGAGCGAGCCGACGTCATCACCTTTGAAACCACGCCAAACGGCTCTTAAATCCTTCTCTCCAAATCAAGCCAGCTCCCTGCTATGAAACTGTAACCACGCGCAAAGCTAGCCATGGCACCTTCACCGCTTCGATCCCCATTGGCTAGCACGTGTCGACCAGGCTCCCCATTGCCGGACACGTTGTGCCATGGGGTGGCACTGCGTGTCCTGCAAATGTGACAACAGGCCGGTCGTTCAAAGTGACGCTGCGCGTCAGTTTCAACGACCGGCCACCTCATGGCGCTGCGTGTCCGCGCCAGTCAGCGCGCCGACACGCGTAGAGCAAGAATGATGTACATGCTTTTGCATTCACAACTCATAAGAACTGCTTAGGTGTGCCTCTATCTTTTTTAGAGCGCAGCTCTTAGGGGCCCGTTCCCGGCTTGAGCGGCGTCGCCGTCGCCGTCGCCGTCGGCGTCGGCGTAACCGCAACCCTCGTAACCCTCGTGAGGGTTACGAGGGTTAATCTCATGAGGGTTACCCTCACGAGGATCACGAGGGCCACGAGGGTTACTTACCCTCGTAACCCTCACGAGGGTTACGAGGGTTAGTTACCCTCAAAAGGGTTACCTTCACGAGGGTTACCCTCACGAGGGTTACTTACCCTTGTAACCCTCACGAGGGTTACGAGGGTTAGTAACCCTCGTGAGGGTTACGAGGGTTACGAGGGTTAATCTCATGAGGGTTACCCTCACGAGGATCACGAGGGGCACGAGGGTTACTTACCCTCGTAACCCTCACGAGGGTTACGAGGGTTAGTTACCCTCAAAAGGGTTACCTTCACGAGGGTTACCCTCACGAGGGTTACTTACCCTTGTAACCCTCACGAGGGTTACGAGGGTTAGTAACCCTCGTGAGGGTAACGAGGGTGAGTAACCCTCGTGAGGGCAACTCTCATAACCCTCGTAAGGGTAACTCTCATAACCCTCGTGACCCTCGTGAGGGTAACTAACCCTCGTAACCCTCGTGAGGGTTACGAGGGTGAGTAACCCTCGTGAGGGTAACTCTCATAACCCCACGAGGGTTATGAGAGTTACCCTCACGAGGGTTACTCACCCTCGTAACCCTCACGAGGGTTACGAGGGTTAGTTACCCTCACGAGGGTCACGAGGGTTATGAGAGTTACCCTTACGAGGGTCACGAGAGTTACCCTCACGAGGGTCACGAGAGTTGCCCTCACAAGGGTTACTAGGGTTACCCTCACGAGGGTCACGATGGTTACCCAGGTCGTAACCCCCCCTGGGGTCACGTGACCTGGGGATACCCCCCCAGGTCACGTGACCCCCCCGTTGACGTCATAGGCACTGATGACGTCGTCAGTGACGTCACTGATGACGTCACCGGCATCCGCATCGTCATCGTCATCATCACTGATGACGTCATTAGTGACGTCACTGATGACGTCACCGGCATCCGCATCGTCATCATCATCACTGATGGCGTCATCAGTGACGCTACTGATGACGTCATCGGTATCGTCACGTGGCCCCAGGTCACGTGACCCCCCCGACGTCACGTGACGCCCCAAGGTCACGTGACTCCCACAAGGTCACGTGACCCACAAGGTCACGTGACCCACAAGGTCACGTGACCCCCCGCCCCCCCGAGGTCACTTGACCCACCCCCCAGTACCCTTCCCTCCTCCTCCTCAAGAGCTGCGCTCTAATTCGGCGTTACAGGGAGTTGTAAACGGCTTTCATTTTTTTTCTCCACTTCTCCAGCGTACGAAGCAGACGACGATGACGAAGTTACGTACATTGTATGTCCTGCTATTGTTTTGCAATTATATTCCTTCCGCTCAATGTTTTGTGCTTGAAGATAGACCGGTACCGTACCACGAACGACAGTTCCAAAGTAGTGGCCCCATGTTGCAACGTTGGTCCTTCGTGCACTCCCATCTTGTCGTCCAACCATATTGGCTGGACAACATATTGCCATATTGAGAATGACATGTACAAATACTTCCTGCAATCTGTGCACCATATTTTTTTTTTGATCAACGCATTTGCAGTTTTTTGGAAGCCACAAAGATGGAGTTCATATTCTTTTCTATCTTTAGCATTGAATGTGTACCTAAGATGACACTTTGAACATATTTGGTACACATATTTTGAATGCCACGTGACCATGAAAAAGAGAGTGAGCATGACTGACATGGCCAATTCTCGACCGGCTGTTTTCGGGCAGAAAGAAAACAAACTTTGAGCCACAAAATGTGTTCTGGGTAGTTGGACACACATAGGCCATGTTTGAATAAAAACCTTGGAGAGCATAAATAAATACCCTGTCAGTGTCCCTTCAAGGCTATAAAAACCTTATAGTAAAGTCAACTTGAGAAACTACCTCATTAGTAAAATAGCGCAAAACAACAAGGAAGAAAGGGCGAGATAGACAGGAAGGGCGCTAACTGACAACTGACGTTTAATACAGTCTATAAAGGAGGAGAAGAAAGAAGCAAGAAGTTACTGATGCTGTTGCTTAAAAGAAAGAAACGTACACCCTCAAAGTTGTTATACGTAAAAATATAAAATGTATGAAAAAGTGAGTTGCTGATGACATCTGTGATTGAAAAAAAAACCGTATGAAATAAGAGAAAAAGAAAGAAGGAAGCAATAATTTTGAAACAAAAGGAGAAATTGCAAAGGTGCACGATTGGTAATCGTAGATGATAAAAAAGATTAAGTTTGAGACCAAAAAGGAACCTGAGGTAGCAGGCTGAATACTTGTAGTCAAGTCCTATGATTAAGGTAGTAAAGCTCCTTAGGAGATAAGGCGATCGTTGGGGCGCTGACGCACACCGCCCCGCGAGACACGATTGTTTGAGCTTCATACAACTCTCGTGTTCTTTTGGACCTAAAACGTCTTAGGATTTTGGTTTGGCTAAACACTGCTGAGCACATACAGTCCCTTGCATGTATTGCAAGATGGCCGGCTGGTGAGGATCTCAAGGCTAAGGCATGTTCTCGCAAGCGTTCATTGATGCATCGGCCTGTTTGTCCCACATATATTTTGCCGCAGGTGAAAGGTATTTCGTACACCACTCCTCGTTGGCAGTCGACGTATTGTTGCTGATGTCTTACTTTGCACTCAGCTTGCTGTGGTTGGAGATGGTTAATTCTCGGACACAACCGCCTAAGTTTATCTGGTGCAGAGAGTGCCACTTGGACTTGATATTTCGAAGCAATCTTTTTTAAGTTGTGTGTAATCTGATGAATGTAAGGCAGCACTGCTGGTCGTTGGTTCGTCTCTCGTGTGCGCACTCGTTGTCCACTGTTGGTGAGTAATGATTCGGCGACTTCAAACAAAATCGAACTCGGGAACCCAGATGTCTTGAGGCGCTGCACTTGAGCTTGAAAACTCTCAGCCGCGGAATGTGTGCACGACTTTTTTAAGGCTGCACTCATTGTGCTTTTGACAATTCCTCTCTTGATGATTTTGGAGTGAGCTGAGTCGTACTGAAGCAGGCCTTTTTTGGTTCTTGGCGAGTATTTCCAGCAAGTGTGCCCGTCTTTGAACATCAGATGAAGATCTAAAAATTGAAGGCTTGAATTCGTTGGAGTCTCATGGGTGAAATTGAGCCCTTGCCCTTCGCTCCAGAAAGTGGATTTGATGGTGTGGATTATCTGAGCTTCATTTTCCATGGGTCTCAATGAAAGAAGCACTAGATAATCATCCACGTATCTGAAAATCTGTGAGACTTGCCCTTTGGTGAGTGCATTATCGATGGCCCGATCACATTTTGAAAGGAAGATGCCGCAGAGGACTGGTGCCACACAGGACCCGATACATATGCTATGCCTTTCCTTTGTAGGTAAGACGTACCTTCGTACGTTACCAGGGTGGCGGTTAGGTAGAACCGTAAAAGTTCTAGGAAAGATTCTACCTGTATTCCACTTTCATTTTGGAACTTCGTAATCCCGTTGGCCTCAATACATTCGTTTACAGCTGTAAACAGCTTGTTGTGTGGGATTGAGTAAAAAAGATCCTCCACATCAAGTGAAAACCCGTATCGTACCGTTGCATCATTCAGTTGTAGGTGATGTATAACCACTTCAGAGTTAGGGATCAGGAATGGATCATTTAGTTTGAGGTTCGACAGATGTTTCATTAGATAGCGAGACAACACAACTTGCCACGATCCTTTTTCAGTCACTACCACTCGGAACGGACACTCTTTTTTGTGTGTTTTGGCAGTGAAAAACATATCTAAGTGGTCCTTTGTAGCAGTCGAAATCATCTTCTTCATTGATGTCACCATTATTGGGTGAACTTTTACGGTTCTACCTAACCGCCACCCTGGTAACGTACGAAGGTATGTCTTACCTACAAAGGAAAGGCATATGTATCGGGTCCTGTGTGGCACCAGTCCTCTGCGACATCTTCCTTTCAAAATGTGATCGGGCCATCGATAATGCACTCACCAAAGGGCAAGTCTCACAGATTTTCAGATACGTGGATGATTATCTAGTGCTTCTTTCATTGAGACCCATGGAAAATGAAGCTCAGATAATCCACACCATCAAATCCACTTTCTGGAGCGAAGGGCAAGGGC